TGTTTATGTCATCGTTCCCTTTAGCTATGCCCTTCAGAATGATATTGTGGGAACGTCTAAATAACTCCATTGTCTCAGCCTGGGAGCTTGGGGCAATAGGGGTAGAAGAAGCGCCGTTGCCTGAGTGCATCGTCTCCATAGATCTTGCAAGTCTCGATTCAATATTAGCAATGTTAGAAGACAGCTCTGTTTGAGTAACCTGGATATTTTGTATGTTGGTTTCGCATGCCGCTATTAAGTCATCATGCCGAGAGATCGAGTCCGAATGTTGCTGTAGCAAGTTTCTACAATAAGCAACACCAGTTCTGAGTTGAGATTGAGAGTTCTTAATATCCTTTATGTCACTGGCCATAGTTGATAATTGGTTAAGTATAAGGGTGAGAGTGTCGGTAGGGGTAGACTGATCTGGTTGTAAAGTAGCAGTGGTTTCTGAACGAGCACCGCATGTGGAAGAGGTTAATCCGCTTCGGGTAACTCGTCCCTGTTTACAACAGGCTGGGCAAGACCATCGTTCTTTTCCGTCCGACAGTTCTTCGTTGTTATCACTGTATTTTTCTACATTATCTCCATCTTCAGGATCTTTCATGTTTTTATTCTTCTTTCGTACAGTCTGACTCATGTTCCCTTATTCCAGCGGCTATTTCCGGATTACCCTATACACTCTGTAGACTAGTTTCTTAATTTGATTTGACACTATTGACGAAATGTCCAAATGACAAAATGGAATATATGGTAAAATGGCTGAAGATTACTCCCACGGCTCTGGAAACTATCACCAACAGGTCCACGGACGTACCTCTTCCTGCTCTTAACTTGAACACCTCTGGTTTTAAATATTTTTGGCTTTTCTCCGATATTTTGAGGTATTTACAGTGAATACTAATTTAGTAGTCTACTTTTAACATTACATATGTACTTATTATTTAGTGCGATAATTTTACATGTCCGTTAATATAGATCCATCCTAAAGAGACCAGAAATCTACGATATCGCATATAGCTTTGTGCTTATAGCAGTCTAGTCTGGTATATTAAAAAATGACAGCCTCATACTCGCTTGTCGTTTTTGGTTGCTGGACGTCCTTTTTTGAAACGGGAATGCCTTCCTCTGGCAGTTCTGGGCCATGCTGGTTTTGCATGATGCCATCTTAAAATTTGGAATGATGACTTCGCGCAATCTCAACATGTTACGGGATTTTCAGACTATTATAGTAACATACTGTATAGGAATGTTATAATGAAATGAAAAAAAAAGACAGATAACATGTGGTTTTATAGGCCAGAGAAGCATGGGGTCTCAAATTATTTTATGTGATTTTCACTTAAATAAAAGATATATCATCCACAGAAAATTCGGGAATTAGGATAGCTTTTTGAATTGGCAGTTTGCATTTGTTGCTGCCATAGTGTGGCTTCTCCTACCTCCAACAATAACAACTTCGACCGTTCGGGTGGATTATAGGATATAGTCCAGTGGAATTAACGTCGCCAGTTTGTTTGCTAAACACCTTGAATAGGAGAAGTTAATGTCATGTTAATGTATACAATCTGGTGAAATTAGAATAGCATTGGAATAGTGAATGTCGGAGGATGGAATAAATGATATTCAGAAACTGCCAGAGATGTTTTCTTCAGCGCCATTGACATCAGTAACACAGTCTTTTTGTATACCTCCCCGAATTTCTTTGATCCTGATAGCAAATTGCTTCTCGTCCGAATTCGGCACTTCTACAATGAAAGCCTGATGATTGGATGTGTAGGTTTCGACTTTTCGAGATTTTATATCAGTATCGCAGAAATGAATAAAGGTATTACCACTGGAGCAAATTACTTTTTCCATACCTCCTCGTTTTTGTGATCCTGATAACAAATTTCTCCTTATAAAAATTCCGCACTGCTACGATAAAAGCCTGATGATTGGATGTATAGATTTCAAGTTTCCAAGATTATGTATCAGGATTGCAGAAACGGCAAGAGATCTCGCCACTAATACCATTGCCATGAGCAGCAAAGTACCGTCACCGTACTCCTTCGCGTTTATGAGATCCTGCTAACAAATTGCTCCTTTTGTATTAGGATTGCAGAAACGACAAGAGGTGTTCCCACCGGCGCCGGCGCCTGGGTCGTAATATCAGGAACAAAGTATTTTCAATACCTTCTCGCGTTTCTGCGACCCTGATAGTAAATTGCGCCTCCCCGATGTCTGGATGTGCGATTTTTGTCTTTTAAAGATTTTGCATCAAGACGACGAGCGGTGTTTCGGCCAAAGTCATCAATATCAGGGACAGAGTACTTTCTACAGGCCTCCTCGGGTTTCTTGTACAAATCCGACGCGTGTGCAATGAACGTCTGATGGCTGGATGTGCAAATTTCGACTTTTCTAGAGTTTGTATTAGGATCGCAGAAATATACTAAGTGACATATAAATCCGAACACCCAGTTTAAATGGTTTTATTTTAATAAAAGTTGGTGAATGTATTTATCTTACCGTAAATAACAAGTGAAAAAATGTTCAGCCTTATCAGTTGGACATTCCGGTTTTTATACTTCTTTTTTTAATTCACTAACTCTCTAAAAATGAATATTTCAGCCGCAGTAAAGAATCAACGTTGGCGGATTTTGGTTCTTGACATCCTTTACGATCGGTTACGATGCCTAGAGTACGGAGACCTGTACGATTTCGTCAACTTAGTGAGTTTGATAGGGGCCGTATAGTGGGACTTCGGGAAGCTGGACTTTATTTTCGGGCAATTGCAGTTAGAGTGCAAATAAGTGTAGACACTGTGGTTAGGTGTTGTCAGGCATGGCTTCGAGAATGCCGTACGCAAAGAGCAAGGGGCACTGGACGCCGTCGTAGAACAACAGACCGTGAAGATCGCCGCCTAAGATTATTGGCCTTAAGGGACCGTTTCTCCACTACCAGGTCCATTGCAAATGAATGGTTTGCAGAACACGGAAGACCTATTGGCATGCGAAGTATTTACCGACGAATGAGAAGTTTTGGCTTGTTTTCATACCGGCCACACTGGGTCCTCCCTTTAACTCGAGATCACCGACGTAATCGCCTTGAGTGGTGCAGACAACGGTCACTCTGGGATCAGGAATGGAACAGTATTGTCTTTAGTGACGAGTCTCGATTTTCGATGAAAGGAGGAATCCACAGTTTTTTGTTGAAAGACATGTTCATCATACTGTTGGAGTTATGGTTTGGGTTGCTATAGCTTATGGTTCCAGGTCACCTTTAATCTTCATCAGAGGTAACATGAATGCGCAGCGTTATATCCACGAAGTTCTAGAACCCCATCTTTTACCCTATCTTGACACCCTGGCAAATCCAACTTTCCAACAAGATAATGCCCGACCACATGTTGCGAGAGTCACAATAGACTTCTTTAAACATAATGATGTCACATTGTTACCATGGCCACCAAGATCTCCCGACTTATCCCCAATTGAGCACGTGTGGGATATGATGGGTAGGAGATTGCTCAATTTGCAACGTCCTCCTCTGACTCTAGAAGCACTTCGAGAGGAGTTGGTGGTTGCCTGGAATGAGATACCACAGGAGGACATTGACCACCTGATCAGAAGCATGCCTAGGCGCGTTAGAGAATGCGTAGCACATCAGGGTGCATCCACACATTATTAAAGGTCAAAGGGCTTTAAAGCAGTGCAATCATTTTGAAATGTTTATTATTTACTTATTATGCTTCATTAAGTATTTATACAAAATTTTATTAAAATAAAACCATTTAGACTGGGTGTTCGGATTTATATGTCACTTAGTATAATTGAAGTTATCGCCAGTAGGCAGTGTCATTGATATCAGAAACGGAGTATATTTGCGTACATCTTCATAAGTACGAGTTGTTGAATGGTACGATAAAAACCTGATGATTAGATGTACAGATTTCAACTTTTCAAGATTATGTATAAGGATTGCAGAAACCGCGATAGGTGTCATCACTAATACCATTGACCATTGCCACCAGCAGCAAAGCACCATTACCGTACTCCTTCGCGTTTATGATATCCTGATAACAAATTGCTCCTTCTGTATTAGGATTGCAGAAACGACAAGACGTGTTCGCGTCGACGCCTGTGTCGTAATATCAGGAACGAAGTACTTTCAATACCTTCTCGCGTTTTCTGCAGTCCTGATCGTAAATTGCGCCTCTCCAATGTCTGGATGTGCGGTTTTTGGGTTTTTAAGATTTTGCATCAAGACGACGAGAGGTGTTTCGGCTAATGTCACCAATATCAGAAACAGAGAAATTTTTCCTTTCAAAAACCTGACACTTGCGCAATGAACGTCTGATGGATGGATTTCGACTTTTCTAGAGTTTGTACTAGGATAGCAGAAATGATAAAAGTTCTTCTCGCCATTAGACAGTATATTTGCGTACCTCTTTACCAGTGCGAGTTGTTGATTGGTAGGGTAGACTAAATGCTATAGTTTGCTGGAATACACTTTGCAAGTTTATTTGCAAACACCTCGAACAGGAGTAGTCAATGTCATCGAGTGGATTGAAGGAAATACTCTGGCAAGTTTATTTGGGAAACAGCTTGAATGGGAGGATTAATGGAAACAGTCGAGTGAAATTAATTTGACAAGTTTATTCTGGCAAAGATCTCTAATGGGAATAGTTGAACAAAAATAGTCCAGTGAAATTAATTTTGCATTTTTTTTCAAACATAAGAAAATCTTTTGTTGTTAGTTAGGGCTCGATTTGTCTGATTGATCTTTATGTAGGCGGATAAGTCTTTCCTCATTACTGTCATTTTAGATGGTATACCTGAAGAAATGTATGTACCTCATCCCTTTAAACTCACACACTTAAATATACGCTATCCCATCAATATTGAAAATATATCTCCACCTAACCATGCGTGAAATACCTTCTAAAATTTCCTAAAATACAAATCTATAGATAGTGCAATTATTACGGAATAAAAAATACGTCAATCGATAACGGTGAATATTAACATTTTTATACTTACAGTGAGCTGATGGTACTTGAAGAGTGTTTCATTCGCTTTTCGATGTTTTCTGGAGAATACGGATTATTCTTCATCTCAATAGCATGTTTCCATTTTTCCTTTTCTCTTCTACTGTAGCTACCTGAAATCACAATATTTTGAGTCAAAAGCACTTGCCGCACTGATGATCCTTAATACAGACAAAACATTGCTGAGACTGACTGCGGGGATTTATGATTTGTTAAAGTTTGTAATATATAGCGTACCTGAGAATACCACGAAATCTTCCTTTGAGTCATCCCCAGGATCTTGAACTCCATTTTCTTTCATATTATCTGTTTGGTCCGTGCCATTTTGTTGTGATGTGTTGGTCTGTTGCTTTGACTTTTGCAATGAAGCTCTGCCAAAAAACAATGTAAAATGTAGAATACAAGGCAGAAAAACTTGATGCAACAACAGTTTGAAATCCTAAATGTACGATAGTTAATAAATGCATGACGAAATAATATAAACATGAAAAAGTCCTACCTTGCTGGTGGTGTAGGTACTGGAGACTTCATAATGGTTCTTGGAAGTGAACCATATTTCTCTGTATACTCTGCTACTTTCTCAGTATTACTGTATACTGACATAATCGACGCGTCTTCAACGTCTGCAAACATGAATGAAACTGAAGGTAATATATGTTTACCTAATGCATGTTAATATTAAATAGAATCTAGATTACTTAATAAGGTTCTCACGCTTTCAGCATCTGCATAAGAGAGGTCACTGTTTGGAGAAATGAAAACTTTGAATAGAAAGCAAAATTAGAATATTTAAAGTAAATACGTTATAAATACACTATACCGCTACTGATAGCCTTAAAGTTTGAAAAAATTCTTGCGTGTCTGCAATTTTGAGCACAATCTGTCGCTTAGAAAAACAGTCACTAAAGTTTTTGGAAAATACCACGTTCTCAAGGAGCCTCTTCCTATGTTTACCACTTGAGCGAGTGCATACTGGGTATGGTAGCTGGACGCTTCCTGGCTAAAATGAGATTCTAGAGTTTTGACCCTGGAAACGGATATAGTGGAAAATTTCACGCTCAGATGTGACCTTATATGAAAAGTATTTTGACCTTGATCATCCCTTATCAGGGTTGTGACTGAAAGTAAAATTGTTCCCAGTATTTGTTTCTGCAATACAAAGTAGCATGCAGAAAAATGCCTAGGCCTTGAATTGACTCTCAAAGTCAAGGTAAAGGTCCAGGTGACTAGTGAAAATCGAGGATCGTCTAAGTCTGTCGACTTTATGTTCTTATTTTTGCTTTATCTTCAGGAGCCTCCATTAAATCTTCTTTACAACGAAAACTTCCGAAGCGATGATCTTGACCAGGACGTTTAAGGTCAAAATAACTTTCACCTAAGGTCATATACGAACGTAAAATATTCTCTCTATCCATTTCCGAGATCAAAAGTGTATGATTTTATTGACAAAAAATCGCCTTGACCTTGAGTTGCCCCGAAAGATCACTGTCAAGGTCAGTTTCAAGGTTACTACTGAAAATCCAGAGCAAAATCTAAGTCTATGTCGACTTTAGGCCCTTATTTTGGAATATATTCAGTAAGCTTCCTAAAATCTTCTTTACGGTGACCTTGGACGAAACCGTTAAGGTTAAACTCTTTTTCATCCAAGGTCATACTTGGACGGATATTTTCCACATCTGGTGCAAAGGTGTAAAGTAGCATTCAAGAAGATTGTCCTGACCTTGATTTGACGGTCAAATATATGGTTAAGGGTAGTTTCAAGGTCAGAAAAATTGAAGCATATATTATATTTGAGTCCTTAATGATTTATCTTTAGAAAGATTTCTGAAATAATTTGAAACGATGATCTTGACCAGGACGTTATATACTAAGTGACATATAAATCCGAACACCCAGTTTAAATGGTTTTATTTTAATAAAAGTTGGTGAATGTATTTATCTTACTGTAAATAACAAGTGAAAAAATGTTCAGCCTTATCAGTTGGACATTCCGGTTTTTATACTGTTTTTTTTTAATTCACTAACGCTCTAAAAATGAATATTTCAGCCGCAGTAAAGAATCAACGTTGGCGGATTTTGGTTCTTGACATCCTTTACGATCGGTTACGATGCCTAGAGTACGGAGACCTGTACGATTTCGTCAACTTAGCGAGTTTGATAGGGGCCGTATAGTGGGACTTCGGGAAGCTGGACTTTCTTTTCGGGTGAAAGGAGGAATCCACAGTTTTTTGTTCAAAGACATGTTCATCACACTGTTGGAGTTATGGTTTGGGGTGCTATAGCTTATGGTTCCAGGTCACCTTTAATCTTCAGCAGAGGTAACATGAACGCGCAGCGTTATATCCACGAAGTTCTAGAACCCCATCTTTTACCCTATCTTGACACCCTGGCAGATCCAACTTTCCAACAAGATAATGCCCGACCACATGTTGCAAGAGTCACAATAGACTTCTTTCAACATAATGATGTCACATTGTTACCATGACCACCAAGATCTCCCGACTTATCCCCAATTGAACACGTGTGGGATATGATGGGTAGGAGATTGCTCAATTTGCAACGTCCTCCTCAGACTCTAGAAGCACTTCGAGAGGAGCTGGTGGTTGCCTGGAATGAGACACCACAGGAGGACATTGACCACCTGATGAGAAGCATGCCTAGGCGCGTTGGAGAATGCGTAGCACATCAGGGTGCATCCACACATTATTAAAGGTCAAAAGGCTTTAAAGCAGTGCAATCATTTTGAAATTTTTATCATTTACTTATTATGCTTCATTAAGTACTTATACAAAATTTTATTAAAATAAAACCATTTAAACTGGGTGTTCGGATTTATATGTCACTTAGTAGATCAAAATGACACAAGGTCATATATCTGAACCTAAAATGTTCACTATCCATTTCCGAAATCAAAAGTATAGGGTCCCATTGAAGAAATCATCTTGACCTTTATTTGACCCTCAAGATTACAGTAAAGGTCAGTTTCAAGGTCACCATAGAAAATCCAGGGAAAAATGCACGTCTCTGGCGACGTTAGGGGTTAAGTTTTGACTTATCTTTGGAAAATTCCCTGAAATCTTTACAGCGACCTTGTACAGAACCTTTAAGGTTTTCACTCAAGGATATATCTGGACTGAAAATCCAGAGCAAAATCTAAGCCTCTGTCGACTTCAGGTTCTTATTTTGAAATATATTCAGTAAGTTTCTTAAAATCTTCTTTAGGGCGACCTTGGACGTAACCTTTGAGTCAACCTCTTTTTCCTCCAAGATAATACTTGGATGGAAATTTTTCGCATCCATTTCTGGGATGAATGGTGGAAGATAGCAGTCCAGAAGATCGTCTTGACCTTAATTTGACTGTCAAATATACAGTTAAGGGTGGTTTCAAGGTCACCAGCGAATAGCCAGAGAAAAATTGAAGTCTGTATTATACTCGAGTCCTTATTGCTTTATCTTTAGAAATATTTCTGAAATAATTTGAAACGATGATCTTGATCAAGACGTTGTAAGTTAAAATGACATTGACACAAGGTCATATATACAGTAAAATGTTTGCTCTATCCGTTTCCGAGATCAAAAATATACGATCTGATTGAAAAAATCAGCTTGACCTTGATTTGACCCTCAAGATTACAGTAAAGGTAAGTTTCAAGGTCACTAGTGAAAATCCACGTACAAATCCGAGTCTCTGTCGACGTTAGGCTTTTATGTTTGCCTTATCTTCAGATAATTCCCTGAAATCTACCTTACAGCGACCTTGAACAGAACCGTTAAGGTCAAATTTGTTTTCACTCAAAGCCACATCTGGACGAAACCTTTCCGCATCCGTTTCTGGGGTCAAAGGTAAAGGGTGATATTCAAGAGGATTATCTTGACCTTGCTTTGACCGTCAAGTATACAGTTAAGATCAATTGCAAGGTCAACAGCGAATAGTCAAAAAAAATAGAGCATCCTTTGTTTTTGAGTCAGTATTGCTTTATCCTTAGGAATATGTCTGAGATCGTTTAAAACGACGATCCGGAATGAAGATTATGGGATAAAAATCGTCTTGACCTTGATATGACCTTTAATGACATGCTCAAGTTCACTGGATAGGTTAGGAAAAATCCTAGGCCAGGAGTACTTTCTGTTTTCTATAATTCTTGAATATTCTTAAATATTTTTTGTTATACTGAAGCAGCGCCGTAGGCATAAGCCTAAATACCGGCGCACCGCGGCTGCTAAGGAGAGTCAAAAGAAACTTTTTTAATCCGATTTTTGAGCTAGGAAAAGCCCTTTCAGCTACATTGTTTGACAATCTCGATACCCTAGCGACAAAGAAGCAGTCGTAGCAGCCAGCTCTGGATGTACGAAGTCTTTTACGAGACTTCTGATTCACCCACACAAAGGGGCAGTTATATTTTTTCTTATGAGTTAGAAAATGGTAATATTTTGACGATTTTTCTAAGAAAAAACTAATCTACTCTTAACTTACTGTCGTCGTCCACAGTGATGTCGGCTCTGGCGATGTGCCTGTTTGGGGTGTGTGTCCCGCTGGCGCTGCCGTCTACCTCTTTGACCCCGGAATCTCCGGAAGATTCCTCATCAGAATCACCGTTTACCAGGACGTTTTTCCCGCCAATCACCGTCTTCGATTCTATCAGCAGGCTGGTTCGACCTGGTACTGACTCTGCCTCACCGTAATCGGAACCTGCGTCCGACAGGTCGGACGTTTCGTCTATTTCTTTGTCGCCGATCAGTACCTGATTGCAAAAGTAGTTACTTTCAATTTGTTGTCTGTTTTATAGCCGCTTTACACAATCAAATAAATTCATGAATAAATTGTAAGAAAAATTGATGAATTTCTCCAAGGTAATAGGTAGCAAAATTACATGATCAAATTTATTCAAGTCAAGCATACCAACACATACAGTAACTTCCTACATTACCAACCTGATAATGAACCTAATCAATAAAAAGATGACGGTATACTGACATACTGATTGTTTCTGTTGAAATATTTATTTGTTTGTTTCAGATTTATTTAGCATTAATGCTACAATGTCCATAATATCCATATTACACAGTATATCACAAAATATAGCATGTCTTCAAGACTACATATTTTCATACAAAATTTCACTACTATGAATTCTGGTTTTCTATGAGATATTTTTTCAATTTCCCTTTGAACATTTTCAAACTGACACACAGCTTTATATCATTACTTAATTTATTAAATTCGTACAATCCCTTTTGAAATACTGACTTGCTCGTTATATTGCTACTGCAGTTTTGTAAATGAAAGTCTATACTTTAGTAGAATAATTATGGCACTCATTGTTCAATACAATAAAATTTTCTAAGTGATTTGGTAGAAGATGATTTTTTAACTTGAATATGAAAATGAAAACCATGTAGGCTATGAAATTTTTGATATTTAACCATTGTACGTATAGTTCTTTCAGCATAAAATTTATTCTAGTATATTTATTTTTATTTAAGATGATTCTCATAGCTTTATTTTGTAATATTTGTAATTTTGAAAATACATTTTCATTTGCAGTGAACAAAACAGTCGAACAATATAACAAATGAGGAAGAATGATAGTGTTGTACACAATTTTTTTAGAATAAACGCTTAGGCTATGCGAAATTCTATAAAAGTAATTTATTTTCTTGGATATTTTTGAAATAATATATTCACAGTTCCTTTAAATGATTCGATTGACACAATTTTTTCATGATCAATTGTAAGATTTATCGTATTTTGATCTAAAGATTATCCTATTAGCATATATTTTGTTTTGTTTGTGTTTAGTTTAAGTTTATTTACATTTAACCAATTTATTACGTTTTTCATATCATTATTTAACAGCTCTACTTCAGTTTTAATGTCTTTATTTGATATATATATATATATACGTATATATATATATATATATATATATATATATATATATATATATATATATATATATATATATATAGGTGAAAAAAGGGTATAGGTGACAAAATTCAAGCAAAGAGGACTCTTTATTCTTTATTAATCTCTAGCTTTCAATGGATTTTGCCATCTTCATCAGGAGCTGTAATAACACAGAAGAAATAGCAACTATTGTGCAAAATGCCGTATTATGAGATATCTAAGACTTACGAAGTGCTAGCAAATTACTAATATGTATATGTCATGACATGTGAAAAATTATGAAAAAGAGGAGAAACACAGCTAGGACTTTTGTAGAATTTTCCCCTAGCTGATATGAATAGGTGCGCCAGGCTGGATACGATTCTACCTTCTGCCAACATACGCTTGGACAGATGCGGTTTGGAAATGATCATTAGAGAGGGGTATATGAAATCAACGAAAGTCTGCGTACAAGGGCGGATCCAGGATTTCGTCTAGGGGGGGGGGGGGAGCGCGCAAACGATCTTTGGGGCTGGTAATTTTTCTACCTCAGTGGAACTTCTAGAATTTATCCTATTATTGCACCTTAAATTCATTGTGTTCTATCTGTTCAATGCCAAGTTGAAAAAAAATTGGAAACTGCTCAGAAATCCTCAGAAAGGCAATATTTTATTACATATATGAAAACAACAAAATTACGTGGCATTTATAATTAGGTAGTATAATAATATTAAAGATTAAAACATAAAAAACTTCATTGCTCTCAACCAAAAAAGACATTTTGAGGGACCCCGAGACATATCCCAGCTATTCCACACAAAACAATGTCTTTGATAGCGAAAACGAACATGAGACCGAAAAATTCACATTATCGTATGGACTCTAGACGAGACAAAGTTGGATATCTATAGACCATCTATAGATCGTGTCTTGAGACCGTCTCCAGACTGCCTGTAGACAAATTGCTCAACGGGGTCTACTACTGTGTACTAAGCTTAAGGATTAATACTCTGAACTACCTGTTAAATAAATCAAGTAATTGGTGTAAATACTGACACAATCAAGCACGTCTATTATATCAGCAGGTGATAAAAATATCAATAGTTATAACCAATTAGTTTTTGAAAATCAATATAGATATTACAGTTATTCTTCAGACTTTCGTAGTCAAACTTAGATTTACGGCATAGTTGTTGCTTTCTCAGTTTTCGAATCGGTGTTGATCGCATGTAAAGATGTTGGAAATCTTTGGAAAAAACTATATATGTTAGATCGTAATTATTTTGATAATGTATGTTTTTACGAAACAAGAACAGGAATACAGGGCAGTACATATTCACGTGTAGTGCAGAAGCTCTGTGACTGTGAAACGAATTCCAATATAGCAACATAAATAGAAGCATACGCGGGAAGAAATGCGGGACCTGTGGTATTGACTTTGAGCATCGATCGACGCATTTTCTGGACAGGCTACAGGCGCACCGCTAAGCAAATCTCATAAATGTATATTTCCAATGTAGGCTTCATCTAACATAGTCTAATCATATTAGCAAATAATTGCAAAGTCCGGTTTTATTGGTGCAAGTTGTTCAAGGGCGCATTTTAAACATGGACCCATAAAATGGTTACACCAATTTTTGTGGCAAAACTTTTTATTTGACAACAAAGAATGAGAAAACGTGTTTTTTGGGATTCAATCGAAAGTGTTAACATGAACGAAAAAACTTTCTATGTAAAATTTTTAGGTATTTATTAGACCTACAGAATGAGACTACACGTGAAAAGATCCGACTACCACTACCAAAAATGTTATGACCGAAAAACCAGGCAAAATGCAGGTTTTGGCACTTGTTGGTAATGCAACGATAATATTATGGAACTACTTGAAATTCTTCAAATCCGCAGGATTCATACTTCTGAATAACAACAGCAAAATTGGAGTATAATGGTCAAGTAGTTTTTTGAGAATTTCTCATAAATACCTAAAAATTTTACATAGAAAGTTTTTTCGTTCCTGTCAATACTTTCGATTGAATCCCAAAAAACACATTTTCTCATTATTTGTTGTCAAATAAAACGTTTTCACACAAAAATTAGTGAACATATTTTATAGGTCCATGTTTTGAATACCCCCTTGAGCAACTTGCAGCAATAAAACCAGACTTTAGAATTATTTCGCAAACCAGGGGTATCTTCGTCTAATATGATTAGACTAATAGTGCTTCGCTGCAACACCAACCCCGAACAAAATCAGTCAAACTTTTCAAATTACTATTGAGCAACGAACAGAACATAAATTACTTTTTAAGTGCAATCTGTATAGCTAATATATTGCTTAGATTTGTCACAAGTCACAATACTCGTATATACGTAGAAATCGTAATAATTGTGCTGTAAACGTCAGTGATGTCGAAGAGGGACAGCGTTTGGAATACCAAAGGATACCAAAAATCGCAATGCTTAGTTCCTATAGCTATAACTTATAGTATAGTTAGTATGCATCTGTCGCTATGATGTGTCAGAAAACAACACAATGGTGTTAGATTACAAAAGCAAGTGTCAGACGTTTAGGGGGGGGGGGCGCCCCTCGCAATCCCTCTAAATCCGCCACTGTCTGCGTAGTTCTAACGAAGCTAACTTTTGCTAAAATGCACCGAAAGTCACCGACATTTGTGAAAAATGATGAATGGGCGTAGTAAACTGATCGAACAAATCGGTAAAATTATTATATTAAAGATTTGTTATTCTTGTATCTAAATTTTCCTTATGATTCTGAGAGATAACAGTAAGAATCTACGATTTAAAGGACTTACTTATGACTAACAGACTGGAGCGTATTTACGGGAAATATGTCGCTGACATTTGTGAAAAATGGTGAAAGGCATACTAAACGGTCAAATTAAAAGATTCATTATTCTTGAATCTAGATTTTCTTATAATAGTAGAAATCTATGTTTTGAAGTACTTACTTATGACTAACAGACTGGAGCGTATTTACGGGAAATCTGTCGCTGACATTTGTGAAAAATGGTGAAAGGCATACCAAACGGTCAAATTAAAAGATTCATTATTCTTGAATCTAGATTTTCTTATAATAGTAGAAATCTATGTTTTGAAGTACTTACTTATGACTACCAGACTCTGTGTCCAACATTTGTGAAAATGGTGAATGTGCATACTGGTAAGAAGCTTTATTAGATTTATTCCTCGATTTTTCCTATGATTCTGGGAGAGAATTTAAAAAGATACGATTTGCAGGACCAAATTCGTAATTAAACTCAGCGCTCAAACTGCTTAGGAGTGTCGTTGATTTGTAGAAACGAGAAGCAAAAACTGACCCTTTCATACTATTCACGCAAGATTTTAAAAAAATATATGGTCCTCGAAGATGCTGTGGGTAAATATTGAATTTAGTAATTTAAAAACTAGTAGAAACAGTAGTAAAGTAATCTTCAAAACAAACCTTGGCTTCCGTAGTGGGATTAGGTACTAGCATCGGTACTGGCACTGGAGAATGAGTTCCTTGAAACTGTCGCTTCTGAAGGAACCAATTAGGCTCTTCTTCGCTCAGCAAGGACGAGTTTGTTCTGAAGTATTCACTGTCATCTTCATCATCCGACTCGCTGTGGGCAACTTCTTCGATATCTTGTTTTATCTGTTATAAAAGTAAAAAATTAGCATGCCTTTACGTAGTATAAAGGTACATTGAACGCGCGCGCTTGATTGACAATTAAAAACAAAACTTTTCAATAATAATACTTACTTAAATGCCTTTGAACTTTCTTGATGGATATTTGACGAATATTTTTGATTTTTGGCAATATTCAAATTTTTGTTACCTTCCATACTGTTTTTCGGGGTCGAAACTGGTATATTTTGCAATATTCCAAATATCACTTTTGTTGTAAAAATTATCAACTTTATAGAAAGGTTCATGAATATATTTTTTTCAGAGTAACTTTATGCACCTAAAAAACTTTGTCCGAGGCGAAAAAGGCAATTTTTGAGCCTTGTTTAAAAATAGTTCAAAAATTTTTTGATGCAATTTTGGGTTTGGCAACATATACATTCGTTGAAAGGGATCCTTTTTGAATAATATAATGTGAAGAAAAATAATCAGAATAATTTTACGAGCAGATGCGGAGATACTTCCTGGACTATATTTGAAGTTCGTATGTTGAATGAGAACCCATATAAATTTTTTTTGTGCGATGTTAACTTTTTTCGTTGTTTATTTCTAACTCCACCGTCAGTGGATCGACCTTCAAAAACTAGCTTTTTCATCCTCAAAACTTTCCTTGTGTAAAGTAAAAACTTAAAGTACTAAGATTATGCTTTTTGGAGGAATAATATTGATATTCCGTGGATATAAAAATTCCGGAATTTTTTTCAGATTATAACATTTTAGTATTTTTTTTGGCGTACTGAGCTTGCTCCATAGAATCTCGTGACGCTAAAATAAGATCATCGTAAAATTAATATCTTTAAAATAAAAAGTACCTTTTAGATTCAAAATTAAAGTAGTAGTAGTAGTAGTTTAGTTGAAGTTTCGGTTGTCAAGTTTCAGTAACAACAAAAAAATTTTGTTTGTAACCAATATTTTGCATTTTTCAATGTTGTTGTTAGGTAAACAGTTCTATTAACAAACCATATATCGGAGCTGAGTGTTCAGGGAAACAGGAATTGAAATTTATAGTATATACTTTTTGGAGGAGGAATATTGATATTCCGAGGATAATTTTTCTTCAAATTTATAACATTATAACAAATTCTCAAATCCTCACCGTAAGAGTGACCCTATCGACATATTTCTTGGGTCCAAAACTTGAATCGCTGTGTATCCATTCTTCAAGACTGGATACTGAAGAGGTGTCTAGGTCTGTGGTCTTCCACTTATCCTCCAAGGTCTCTTCTCCGAAGAAATATTCTTTGACGCGTCTTCTTCTTGGAGTTGATGTTCTACTGGACAAACTGGCTGCTGATGAGCCTGGACGGGTATGCTGACCATTACTCACCACCTAGAGAAATGTCACGGAGACTGACTTGGCAGTTTTAAGAATTTTATAAAAATGATACAATAGCGAACATAAACGTTTTTTTGTATCTTCTATCTATTATTTACGTTATTATGATACCGTAATCACATATTTTATCATGGGAATGTGTTTTTTGGTTAAACATTTAAGAGTGAATACCAATGACCTTGATTTAAACGATGCATTTTTCGCGCGCATCGCAGTGACGTCACAACTCATGGTTTGTCACGATATTTTAAATTTGGTTAAAATTATTGTCATGTTTTGGGGTCAAGTTTGGAACGGTTCTATTTTCACGCTCTTCACAGTCACGTCACAACACATGATTTGTCATTTTATTCTTTGTTTGGCCCTTGCGATTTGCTGTCAAGTTTTGAAAGGTTCTATTTTCCTTTTGTCGATATCGTAACGTCACGCCAATGGCGTTGCATCTGCAGCGTATTTTTACCATTTTTTATCAATTAATACCGATATTTAAATCACATGCCTATCCCCGATTGTTGGTCGTTTAGTCTGAGTTTGTAAAACAATGATGAATTCTGAACCTGATCCTACAAACTAAAGACCAGCGGACTAACTTTGAGTGCCAGTCACTTGCGTATTGAGACAGGTTTTGATGAAGATGGTCTAGACCTATTTAACAGGCTAATTTAAGAAAGGATAAAACTTTGATATTACCGAAAAAGGATATCTAGTTTTAATGAATGTCATCTTAGATAAAGTGTATATGGATTATTTGTTTCTGAATTGATCTTTCTAGAAATGCACAAAATTAAAATGATACGAGAACATTGATTTTGGGGCTTAAATTTTAATATTTTTAATGAACAACAATTAATCTGATAGCTCTTTTATATCGATATAGCGAAATGGCACAATACTTGTTCTATTTCCTTAGCTTTCAATCTGGCAATACCAATTTCAAAAAGACGAGAAAGAAGAAATGTATTTGTTAATTGTTTCAGGTCGTGTGATTGGTCTTCTTAGTACTACTAGATATCTGCTGTGCCAAATTTTAGCTTGTTAATATTTCTTCTGATATCAAAAACCCTGAAGGTTGGACTAAAGGTCATCTAATTGAGAAATCAAGGTAGCATAACCCAGCAGAACCACAACTGTTACAATTTGTGATTCTTCCAAAAAAGTATGCAACAGTTAGAACGGTCTAAGGCATAACCCATTATACGATTATTCCTAAATTATAAGCAACGGCATAAGCTCCTTAATCTAAGTAAAGTCTGGATGTTCACTGGAACTTTAGGTCCATTTTAAGTAGCGAGCATTGATGAACAATACGAATATATACAAGATGCGTATTCTTAGTACAATGATGATGATCTCACCTTAACACTCAGCACGTTTGCTTTTCTATTAGATTTTCTTGCTACAACCGAAACAATCGCCATATTTGTGTACTGTACAGTAAATTAAGTTTCCGTATCGATCTCACAAATGTATGTCTAGACCAAGAAACCATATAGTTTCTCCTTTAATTTACCGGCCTTCGACAGATGTATTTTTCAATAAATAATGTTAATCATAACGAGTTTCGATAATTATTCACTTTTTACAACTCAGGGGAAAATCTCCCTATATATGGCGACATTCACCAAATGCCATGTCCAAGAAAATCAAGTGTCTAAAACATCCACATAGGTCTTTAAGCAAAGTAGAGCTCACTAAGTACTGTATCGTCAGTCGTTCCTGCAAATGTAGGTCGCCTTTATGGCCTCCTTGATTCTCATAGTCTTTTCTCTCCTTCAAAAAGCTGGGGTATTTATAGGATTCTACTGTTCCGTACCAGCGTCAGCTCTCTTCTATTCATTGTGAGGTTAAGTTTTCTTTTTGAATCTTAAGATATTTTAGGCTGACAAAGCGATAAGGTAGATAAAAATTTATTAACCTTAAATTTCTTAGAATTCAAAAAGTAAATACGAGCCCCTTCCCACTTCAGTTGGCCCAACTATTGAAATCTTAGTTTTTTTCTTATCAAACACAAATAATAAAAATGTAGCAGGGTGTTATAGGTTTAAAATATTAACAATGAATGTTTTGATAATATATAGTAGAAAACACCAACTTTATCACTTCCTAATCAAATTTGCAGCATAAAAATAACACATATTGCAATTACAGCATATCAGCCTATTTTCATTTCAAAACAAAATAAGTCAATAACGCATAGGTGGCTGTGAAAAATAAAAGCCATGACAATTGTTTTTATTAAACACAGCTGTCAGAATACGTTTAAAATAGTTTTGGGTAGGTTTTCAAAATGGGTAGAGGAAAGGTTATTAGTGAGAAAATTCGGTTACCTACTGATAATTAAATTTTTTAATTCTGGGAAATCAAACTCAGAAATTGCAACTTTGTTAGACTTATCGCGGTACAGTGTGAGAAATATTGCTAGAAGATATAACGTAACTGGTTCAGTTAATATTAAGCCACGATATGAAAAAAGTAATATCACAAATGCTGACCGAAGAGCATTAAGAAGAATAATCGTGAAAAACAGGCGTGCCAATTATTTACAATCAAGCGCTCTGTAGAGTGACGCTGTTGGAAGGAGAATTTCGAGGTCCACAACTCATAGAGAGGCCCACAAACTGGGATTTAGCACTTGCAAGGTAAGTTTTCTTATAAAAAAAAGTGAAGTAAAAACCCTAAAGTTGCACAACTTGTTTATAGGCCAAAGAAAAGCCACTATTAACTCCACTGCAAAAGAAAAATCGGCTTAGATGGGCTAAAGAACATAGACAATGGACACCTCAACAATGGTGTGCAATACAATGGAGTGATGAGGCCCGATTCGAAGTTTGTGTCGATGACATTCGCAGTAGAGTTCTTCGCAAAAAAAATTAAGCATTCCATGTTGACTGTCTGAAGAGAAAAGAGAAATTTCCAGCATCCATTATGGTCTGGGGCAGTATGTCATCAAAAGGAGTAGGAAAACTTCATTTTATTGATGGAAATGTGGATACAAACAAATATTTGGCAATTTTAGAAGAATCGCTTTTACCAGTGATGGAAGAATGTTTGACATCCGGCCAAGATTTTGTGTTTCAGCAAGATGGTGCAGCGTGCCATACCTCAAAAAAGGCTATAAAATGGATGGAAGAAAATAATGTACCACTTTTGAAATGGGTTTCTAGCAGTCCAGATCTGTCACCTATTGAAACTTTGTGGCACGAGATGAAAAAGGTTCTACGACAACATCCTGCTCGTACAATCACCGAACTGAGGCAAAAGCTTCAAGAAATATGGGATTGTTTTACACCAAATTTTTGCCAAAACTTGGTTAACACTATGCCTCAAAGAATTGCAGCCGTAATAATGATAATCTTTCAATTGTTGCTTTGTTAACTTCGCGCATTTATTCGCACATTGTTTATTTGTTCAGATGTTCTATCAGTTATAGCTCTAAGTGATTTCAAATATGTATTTTTTACGACTAGAGTGTATCTAAAATGTTTTTGAGAAAATAAATTGTTTTAGAAGTAAATAGTTTCGTCATGTTTGGTTTATAAAGGCATATTTTGGTACAAATCTTGAAGTGGGCCAACTGAAGTGGGAAGGGGCTCGTATAACCTCAAAGTAGAGCGCCTACACCGAACAGCAGAAATCTAGAAATACCCCTGCCTTTCTCAAATATTAGCCATTGCAATACAATAATTTTACACGAATATGTGCCCTCTTATGAGGAATCGGATAGTCTCCTGAGCTTCTCCAATATTAGCCACCCTGTATGTTACTGGGCAAACGCAGGCGTCATATATTTTCATCGTTATTACGGCCCATGGTTGGTAATTTCACTGATTTTTCTCTTGATTTGATATACTAAGTGACATATAAATCCGAACACCCAGTTTAAATGGTTTTATTTTAATAAAAGTTGGTGAATGTATTTATCTTACTATAAATAACAAGTGAAACAATTTTCAGCCTTATCAGTTGGACATTCTGGTTTTTATACTGCTTTTTTTTAATTCACTAACGCTCTAAAAATGAATATTTCAGCCGCAGTAAAGAATCAACGTTGGCGGATTTTGGTTCTTGACATCCTTTACGATCGGTTACGATGCCTAGAGTACGGAGACCTGTACGATTTCGTCAACTTAGTGAGTTTGATAGGGGCCGTATAGGGGGACTTCGGGAAGCTGGACTTTCTTTTCGGGCAATTGCAGTTAGAGTGCAAAGAAGTGTAGACACTGTGGTTAGGTGTTGTCAGGCATGGCTTCAAGAAGGCCGTACGCAAAGAGCAAGGGGCACTGGACGCCACCGTAGAACAACAGACCGTGAAGATCGCCGCCTAAGATTATTGGCCTTAAGGGACCGTTTCTCCACTACCAGGTCCATTGAAAATGAATGGTTTGCAGAACACGGAAGACCTATTGGCATGCGAAGTGTTTACCGACGAATGAGAAGTTTTGACTTGTTTTCATACCGGCCACACTGGGTCCTCCCTTTAACTCGAGAACACCGACGTAATCGCCTTGAGTGGTGCAGACAACGGTCACTCTGGGATCAGGAATGGAACAGTATTGTCTTTAGTGACGAGTCTCAATTTTGTTTAGGCATGCACGATGGTCGTGCCAGGGTTAGAAGGCGACGTGGTGAAAGGAGGAATCCACAGTTTTTTGTTGAAAGACATGTTCATCACACTGTTGGAGTTATGGTTTGGGGTGCTATAGCTTATGGTTCCAGGTCACCTTTAATCTTCATCAGAGGTAACATGAACGCGCAGCGTTATATCCACGAAGTTCTAGAACCCCATCTTTTACCCTATCTTGACACCCTGGCAGATCCAACTTTCCAACAAGATAATGCCCGACTACATGTTACAAGAGTCACAATAGACTTCTTTCAACATAATGATGTCACATTGTTACCATGGCCACCAAGATCTCCCGACTTATCCCCAATTGAGCACGTGTGGGATATGATGGGTAGGAGATTGCTCAATTTGCAACGTCCTCCTCAGACTCTAGAAGCACTTCGAGAGGAGTTGGTGGTTGCCTGGAATGAGATACCACAGGAGGACATTGACCACCTAATCAGAAGCATGCCTAGGCGCGTTGAAGAATGCGTAGCACATCAGGGTGTATCCACACATTATTAAAGGTCAAAGGGCTTTAAAGCAGTGCAATCATTTTGAAATTTTTATCATTTACTTATTATGCTTCATTAAGTACTTATACAAAATTTTATTAAAATAAAACCATTTAAACTGGGTCTTCGGATTTATATGTCACTTAGTATATAACCGGTGAAGAAACTTTCAAAGTGATCCAAACATTTCCACGGCGATCGACCCAAAGAACTCTGAGGGACAGAGATCTTTTATTCCAGTGTATGTCAGTGGTTATCAGTTACATTGAAAGGTCGGTTCTTCCAAGCTTAGAAATGTTACCTTGTTGATTATGGCAGTTGCTAGAAGGTCCTCATAAGTTCTATCAGTTTCGTTTGGTGGTAAACTTTGCGTGTCTCTATTCAAATTGGGAAGATTTAGGGCTTCTCTCAACAGCCTTTCGATGATCTGCTTCAAGGTTGCGTGCGCTGAGCAGGGTGACTGGCCAGCTACTGGTAAATCTGAAACAGAGTAGAATACTATGATGAATTTTATTTTATTTATCTTATCGTTAAAAATAAATATTCGTGGACTTTGGTTTGAACATGTACTTTTCGATGCATTTAACGTTGCTTTCATTCTCCTGGGCGTTTGTTGACTGACATTTGGAAGCCCGCGAATACTTTTTTTGGAAAAAAACTAAATGAACCCTAGTTATTTCATATACATAAAGTACCATCTATTACCAGAATCGACCACTCCTCAGCTTCCGTCCGTAGTCCACCGAGAGCAAGTCTATATCATGCTGAGGAGTTGCCAAATAGCACGAAATAGCTATCCATGATTGGAAATCTGTGGCCGGACAAACGACAACTATATTACTAGTTTGTTCAATGGTGAGTTGGTCGTATCTGCTATAGCCAGAATCTGCAAGACCTAGCGGCCACATTGATGACCCGACTGACAGTGTGAACTGGGATACAGCTCCAACAGACACCTTGCTGTTTTCACGTTTGCAGTGATCGATTCTGGTAATAGTTTGTGCCGACATCTGATTTTTAGATCACCATGTTTGTACTCGTATGTAGCGACCCAAATGATCTAAGGTATTTCGCTTGAAACAACGGAGCGCCAAAAAGGAAATTTTCGCCTGAAAAATCCTATAAAATTTTCTGGTTTCCTATGCAAAATTTAAAAAACCTATCCATGATCGGGGCATTTTACGGGTAAGTCGGGAGCGTAGGATCAGAGTTCGTCATCAGTTTGACGCTAAGCTCCATGGGAGATTCAAAGCGACCCATTTTCTATTTCAAATTTGGTTCCACTTTCGTGAATCTTATCTCAGTTTCTTCGCTGAAATCGTCCCATTTTTGAACACCAAATATGACTTCCCGGTGCTTTAGCATTTATACCACTGGCCAGGAAGTATTGCAACCGCAAAAATTTCGAAAATGAGATTCGTTTTTTGGATCTTATATGACATGTACATAAAAAAGACCACGCCACTCATTTCCGCTGGTCTGTCAATTGTTTGCTAAGTACGAAAAAGCTTTGTGGTGTTTGAAAACCGATACCAAGGTGGTGGAGCTAGCGGCAAAACATGAAAGAATAAAATCGTTCAGGCTTCGTTTTTTACGTTTCGAGAAGCTCTTGATTATTAAATTATTTGTAGGAGAGAAGGGTGAGAGGTTGTAGGAGGAGGGATGAGAGTATATTTCAATTTCTTGGCATCAATATACTTATTCGCACACGACATAGGTAATTCTACGCACGAATCATAACGCATGTCCCAAAAGCTTTGGCACAAAACACTAAATAATATCAAGTTGCCTTTGGAAACAAAGGTTTGTTTACTTAATACTACTATTACTACTACTAAATTATTTCATTTTGAGTACCTAGTTCTGAAATGAAGTGGAACGACGAATTTTATACGGACAATGTAGAGGAATGCCCTAACATTGTTAGATACAAACATCAAGGGAAATTTGCAGATAAAATCCTTGTCTGGTGCGCAATTTCTAACAGGAGTGTATCCCAACCTTTTGCGGGAGGAGAGAGGGATGAAGCTTTGAATAGTCAGAGCTATATTGATAACTGCCTTTTCAAATTGCTTGTTTGTCCACGAACATCATGATAATGACCATATTATCATGTTTTGGCCAGACCTTGCATCATGCCATTACTCAACACAACATACCTTTTGTTCCTTCTTACTGTATAGGAAGGTTTATCATTGAGGCTGAAAAGCCTAAGATGAAGAACAATTAAGACGGCGAATTTACGAAAAACTAAGAGAAATTTATCTGAATTCCGTCCAGGACCCTCGTCGCGGTGTTACCGATGAGCGGCAAAGTTAGTCATAGCAACTATGCCGGGTGGACGGTATTGTTAATAGTGCAGGGAGGACATTTCCATAGACCAATTTTATAGGCCTGTTTGACTGACTTGATCTGCTTAATTTTGCCATTATGCATGTTAACTTGTTTTTTGAAAGGAGCAAACTTGTAGCGAATATGATCCTTTATGGACTGATGGCAGCGTTGTTTGGAAAGTGGTATTTTGAATTAATAATAATAATAATTTAAATGCCAAATACAATTATAAAAATATAAATTTCAAAGATTGTTGCCACAAAGGAGTATCAATGACAAATAAAAGTAATGCCACGAAATTATCCCAAGGTACCAAATTTCATTCCTTTGTGCAAATGGGAGGCAAAAATGTTACATTCCGAAGGCCTCAACGCGAACAGATCATATCGGACGCGGTCATTTTTTTGTAAAAAATTGATGTTTTCGACGTATCTCATCGAAAGCATTCAATTTCGTTTCAAAAAATACTTCTACTGAAACTGCCACAAAGGAAATTGAGGAAAACACACTGAAAGCTGGAAACCAATGATAAATAATTACAACTAATGGTCAATGAAAAGCATCTTCAAGCATTTAATAGTGATACACCCACCTTGAAGAGGTGTCACTACTAGAACAACCTTTTTTTTGAGAGAAAAGGAAGAATAAAGGAACAAATGTCATTAGAACTGTTGTATGAAAAATATGTGATAATGCTTGGTAAAAATGACAACTATGGCGGTTTGCTAGCTTTGCAGTGTTGCCATTTTTTTATCTCTATTATATGTATACAGTCAGATAACATGATATGCACGTAAAATATCTTACCTAAAATGACGTCGATGACATAGTAGTACAAATATAAAGCTGCGCTGAATAAAACCCACAATGTTACTAAAACACTCACTAACACTGTAAAAAACATATTTGCACTATGGCGGGACGTAGAAAATTTGCCTTCAAGGATCACAGTTACTGTTATCTATTTTCGGAAGATTAACTGGAGATTAGATGTATGTCGGCATAATTTCAGGTTATCTTTAAAGATGGTTTTGTCTATGTCTCCATGCTTTTTTCAAACGGTGTGTGCACTCTAGCGAGTGTGAACAATAGAGTGTGGCTTATCATCTTGTAAATAAATTACTAATTTTATAATTCGCAACACATATTGCTATTTATAGTCCAGGAAATGTAAATAAGCTCGTCGAGTCTGCAATAACAAAAGTACGTTTGATAGGAGTGAAGCGCATAGTGGGGGGAACTGAATTGATCGCCGCGAATGACAAAGAGTAACATCATCGGACTGATAGCGGAATATAAGCTTCACCGTCATTATTTTCATATCAAATACAAATACAAGTATCAGTTTAAAATTCAAATTATTTCAAACTTTATATTGACTAAATTTTTGTTATTTTCATTGTCTCACTACCATGGATTAATTTTACTATCCTTGGACTATTTTACCAACCATTTTTCCTTTTTAATGGAAAATTGCGTTTTAGGGATGCCCATAGGTCATTTACTATTTTCTCGTTTTACTTCAAAATCTCCAAATTGAGGGTTGGTTCCATACGAACGCGAGAGATTTCCAGATAATCTGGGACACCCTGTAAAACCATAAAATAACGAAAACAGGTATTTAACATTTTCGTTAATGGTTGTTTATTTTTAAACAATGAACTCAGCCGTGTCTTTATCGCTTGAAGCAATAAACATTTTGATAACGCTCAATGATATCGTTACACTTCGTGTGTGCTTCCAATATTAATAGAATTTTCGGTTGAACTAAATTAGCGTTCAAGCATTCCACGAATTTTTTCAACTAATAATTTGTATTACTTGCTTAGGTTTATTGCACTTATGCACGTTCATTTAACAGGAACCAATAAGTACTGCATTTTGTGTATTTCAATTGATTCTCTCGGTAGGTTCTTTGGATCAATCTGAGCAAAAAAGGTCCTTCGTAACTATACTCTAAAGTTTAGTTTTTCGAGATTTACATCCCGAAAAACCCTAAGAATAGCCAATCTCAGAGCTTTAAACTGGAGACTGCTCTCTTGATTCAAATCAAATTGCCGGCTAGGACAAACTGAGAAGTCTGCGGTAGCTGAACATGCACTAAGTAATGGGGACCACAGGATACACATTGGGAGCTGCAGGTTGCTGTCATCACAATAGATTGGTCAGGGAAGCTATCGAGATTCACAAACGGATTACTTCAACAAGAAGGAAGAGACCCTCAGACTTAACCCGATCTGGCACCCGATCCTCAGAAATGCCCGAGGAGTGCCGATCGACATCCCGAAGTCAACCGAAGCGCAACAAGCCACGTCACCTACCCTCCAGTATAAATACAACCTACGCAAGAGAAATCGTCAGTCTACATCCAGCATTGGAAATGGAAGGACCTCTGAAGAAGCTTGCCACTCGTGCTAGCGAAACGTTAGGAAGAAAATCCAACCGACGACGGCCTATAGACCCGAATCAAGACAGCAGTTTATCAACTGGCCGCGAAAACCTTAATCAAGTTGAAAACTCTGTTAAAAACCATTATTTTTAACCATGATTGTTGGCTAAATTAAAGTTCTAAACTGGAGGAGTATTTTGGGCATAGTTCTTATTTAATTGCTAATTGCATGTCCATCATTAAGTACCAAAATTGTAGATATAATGAATAGTGAAATGGAAAAAACTTGCTTTGTGGTTAAAAACAAATAAAAATAAATTAAATGAGAAAAAACGAAATGTATGATCATAGGTTCGAAAAATAATTGCAAGAAATTAGTAGATTTGAATTTGTAAGTGAAAATTGAGGGAGAGGTGAGTGATTTTGTAGATAGTTTTAAACATTAAGGTATTACAATAGATCATCAACTAACCCTCAACAAACATGTCATGTATTTTCGTAGAATTTGTGACAATCTAAGTTCATGGTGCAGAAGGGTATTTTACAAAACAATATTTTTTCCTCATTTTACTTATTGTTCATATTTTTTTACCACAAATGAGGAAAAGCAAACGTTGTAAATTTTATTAAATAAATGTATACGGATTTTGCTAAATGGTAGCAGGTATACAGGATATGCTAAAGACATTGAATTTTTAAACATACACCAAATCAATCAAGAAGAAAATTTAATTCTTATATATAAAACTATCAATAATCAGGGTCCATCTTATCTTGAACAGTTACTAAAAAAAGATTTGAAATGCAAGGTTACGACGTTAGATCAAAAGAAAATTTCGATATACAGTGTAAATATAAGGTTTAAAAAAGTCAATGTTTATTAAAGGTCTAAAATTGTACAACAATTTGCCTATTAATGTAAAAACATCTGGTAGTGCTAACATTTTTAGAAAGGGTCTTCGGAAAGACTATTTTGGTTTGATGTGATGACCACTTTGTAAATTTAACATACTTTGTATACGTATCTATAATATTTATTATTTTCTTCTATCTGCTCGGAAAAATATTTTGATCCGTTGTTTTTGCATAATCTTATTCAAAAAGGTTCCATTTTAATGAATCTGTACAATCACATATCCATTTTTAATTACAATTTTGCGATTTGTAATTATATTTACACAGAAACTGCATTCGAAGCTAAATGTGATTAATTAATGACAAAAAATTGAACTTTGACCACTGGTAATTGAGTGACGGGTGAAAGAAAGAATCGTTAGATGATTACGTGTGTTGCTTATTTGCGAACTGTTTTTCAATGTCAAGTAAATTATTTTTATATTCGTTTTATAATACTACATATTCTGGAACACATTTAGCATGAAGATGTTTATGTAAAATAATTTAAAAAGATGTATGCCTTTATAAGATAATAAAATGAAAGTTGAAAGATATTATTCGTTGCCATCTAGCTATAATTAAACAATAAAAATGCAAACACGTGTCTCAATTGAAAATTCCATTTCACTTCTTTATCTTCTATATATGTAACGTATAGTATAAATGCAAATGTATGTTCAGATTGTCAGCATCACGTATGGTTACCAGATGGTTGGGATTGTCCCAACATTTCATATGGCGGAAAAATACAATCTGTCCCGACAAAAAACAAACCAAAAATTTATTTAGAAAAAAGGTGACCAAAAAGAGGTCCAAAATTTTTAAAAAAGTACGTCTTTTGTCTTATCGATCCCAATAAGCAATGCTTATTGTGAAATGGTTTATTACATAACTATAACTTGTATTCCAAAGATAGAAATAGAATGGCAGTAGAACTATTAATAATTGAACTTTAATGAAAAAGGGCAACAAATTAGTGGAAAGGGTAAACTCGAATGCAAAATACCTGTGGAAAGTAGAAAATAAGTATGCTTTAGTTGTCTTATATTTTGATCGCATGTTTCATCTGTAATCTCATAACTTGCCAAAAAAGTATATAATAATTAAAAATAACTTTTTGAGTCTTTAATATTTATTTGTCCCGATATAATTCCAAAATCCCGACTTTTCGAAATTTTGCACAAATATTTCGGTCATCCCATCTCGTAAGCCTAGCATCACGTCTAACCTACTATATGTAGCAACGCAAAAATGTGTACACTTACTAATCTATACTTGAGGAAGGTTTAATACTCGAACATCCCAAAAACCAATTTTTTTTTTGGAAAAATGGATTCTAAGAAAAGTTTTAGGATATCTGAAAAGCAATTTGTGGATGACCTGAATATGACCTAGGCAATAACCTCATGGCTCATTAGGAGATGATATTTGAGATAATCGACAAATCACTTTTCAGTTGTACTGAAACTTTTTTTAATGCCTTTTTTCTGGGTAAATGCGTGGTTGCCAAATTTTTCGATTGAACCTCTTATCTTGGCTTGACCTCATGTATGAAAAGGCACTTCTGCAACTTTTATAGAACCTGCTTCCTAAAAATAAAACGCGTAGTCATCAAGTTTTCGGGAAGTTTGGGTATTTAATATACAGGGTGGCGCATCGAAAACGAAACAGACGCATTTACTGGCAGCTCAGTTTTTTTTTGGAAAAACGCTAGACCCGTCGATTTTGTTTTCGAGGGGGACACAAGTTTGGCAAAAAATCACGTTAACACGTGCAGCCCCCTGGGCGGGGGTGACACCAACCCTAAAATCTTAAATGGAAAGGGGGGTCGAGTGATACCTTATTTTAAAGGTCTTTCAATTCCCTTTATAATGATGTAAAATACATGAGCTTCAGTTCAGTAGTTTTGAAGATTTATTGATTTAAAGCTTGAAGTACACTTTAATAGGTACATCAGATTAGTTTGTACTACTTTCAGAAGAAATTTGACTAAAAGAATTTACTTAATAAGTAAATGCTTTTCTTCACTACGCCCATGGTTTGTTTATCATTTTGTTGTTGAAAATTGCTATTGGAGCGTTTTTTTTGTGGCAAAAAGGTTATTTCTTGAAGAAAGGTAAGGAAATATCTCTTACTTATTTTAAATATTAATTTACTACTTCGTTTGCGATTGATTTGACCAAACTTTGTTGCTAAAATAACTTGTAATGCTTGATTACATAAACTAACCATGGTATATTCCACAGCAGAAAAAGTTGAAATTATCGAAATATTTTTCGGAAATAATCAGTGCGCTAATAGAACAGCAGAAATATTTAATGGGCGACATGAGAACAGTAACGTGCATCGAAAATATGTTCCAGAACTTGTAGCTAAATTTCGGGAAACTGGGTCAGTCGCCAATAAAAAACGCAACATTGAAAATCCCATAAGGAAAGAAAGCAATAAAAGTGGGGGTTTTAGGGCAAGTTTATGTAGATCCGACGTTAAGAACCCGCAAATTGGAGACTGTGTGTGGTGTTAGTCGACGAACTGTCCAACGGATTCTAAAGGCCCATAGTTTTCATCCGTATAAAATTCACCTGGTACAAGAACTTAATGAAGACGATTTTGATCGGCGATTACAATTTTGTGAAGATATGAGTAAACGAATTATACACGCTGAACATTTTCTATTCAACACTTGCTGTTCCGACGAATGTTCCTTTTTCTTAAATTGCGTAGTACTTCGTCATAACTGCCGATATTGGTCCGATTCTAATCCCAGAATTTATCATGAGGTTCATACACAGCAGCCACAAAAATTAAATGTTTGGGCTGGTATTTTTGGCGATAATTTAGTTGGTCCTTTTTTCTTACCTGGAAATTTGACCGGTGAAATGTATTTGGAATTACTGGAAGACGCCATAGATCCTGCATTAACAGCCATAATTGAAAATCAGAATGATCGGCAGTACATTGCGAATCGGTTGATGTTCCAACAGGATGGTGCCCCACCACATTACGCATTACGTGTTCGACAATATTTAGATCAGACGTTTCCAGATCGATGGACTGATAGAAGAGGTGCCATTTTATGGCCCCCAAGATCGCCAGATTTATCACCTTTGGATTTCTTTATGTGGGGTCATTTAAAAAGCAAAATCTATGCTACTCAGCCAACGTCATTAGAAGACCTGCGACAAAAAATTGTGAATGAGTGCCTTCAAATTACTACTCAAATATTGCAAAATGTGCGGCAACGTTTTGAACAAAATCTTTATTATTTCATGGAGAGTCATGGTGGCCATTTTCAATATTTAGTTGAATAATGGGTCAGTTTATTCTTCATTTTTAAATTACTTTGCTGCCAAATGTATCTCCACTAATGATGATGTATTAGTTTTATTCAAGCTTCAAATCAATGAATCTTCAAAACTACTGAACTGATGTACATTAACTTTATATCATTATAAAGGTAATTGAAAGACCTTTAAAATAAGGTATCACTCGACCCCCCTTTCCATTTAAGATTTTGGGGGTGGTGTCACCCCCGCTTAGGGGGCTGCACGTGCTAACGAGATTTTTTGCCAAACTTGTGTCCCCTCGAAAACAAAATCGACGGGTCTGAGCGTTTTTCAAAAAAAAAAACTGAGCTGCCAGTAAATGCATCTGTTTCGTTTTTGATGCGCCACCCTGTATGTAGGCAAAATCAGCGGTGAGTTCGCGTATAAAACTATGCCGATAACCATCCTCTGGAAGAAATTAGTAAGTGTAGACATTTTTATGTCCCTCCGTATTGTGGTTCAGACGTGATGTTGACAGACTGGACAGACATCCACATTCAATGTATTGCTGCATTAAAAAATTACCATCGCCATTTTGCCAATCTGCTAATAGATTAAGATTGGCTAAGAGATTTTGCCAAAGAAAAAACAGTAACCCATAACTTCGCTAAACATAAAGACCTGCCGTATGAATTTGATTTTTTTCATATTATTACGCGTTGTTTATGCCCTTACATTTTCCTGACATTCTGTAATAGCCTATATTTGATTAATTCTTCACTTGACATTCGTATATTTTCCTCCGTTGATGATGATGCTACATGGAAAATTTTAATTTTTTATTAGTTACAGGTTCATTGTTTCTTGGAAAGGCAGTTTCACAGTTAAAAGGTAAAAATACTGTGACGTGATTCACTTTATCAAATTGCATCATCAATATGTAAAGTTGTTTACAGTGACTGTGCAGATACAAACCATGTATAAAACCTCGATCAAAAGTGGGCTTGAACATCAATTCTTAATCTAATAAAGGTTTATCCACCCTTTCTATACTAGTATACTACACTTTTAGTTTGAGATATGCGAAGAATTTATATTTAAATGATATGAGAGTGTGTGACTTCGCAGTCCACCATAATTTCTATCCCTAAATCCCGAACCAGTTAAGCAAAGATGTCTGAATGATTTATCAAAAACAATATCTACCTACGTCGACATGGTGGGAAAAAGAAGGTTATGCAGGAAATAAATTCACTTTAAGTTAAATAATATTGAAGATATTAGAATGTCGGATTGGTTAAGAGTAGTTATTGATGCAAGAAACTCTTCATTAGTTTATATACAGCAACTTGGGTAGCCATTATAAACGGTTTGACAACCTGACAATGCAATTCAATAAAATAAAATGTACCATGTCATTTGTAGCTTTTATCAACAAGATTTGTGCTTCAGTTACATTTGGATAACTCAATATTTCGTGAAAATCATTTAAAAAATTCTTGTTTCAATCCAGTAGCTGGTATTCCTCTCAGCGTTCTGTTTTATCATTGGTTCTATTGACCCACCACAGAGGTTAAAACATAAGGTATCACGGCCGCTCGCGCGTTCCAAAACTCTCACTTTTCCGGCTTTCCCGATCGCACTTTTCCGAGTTTTCCTCGCGGATCCGCGTCGATTTTCCGACACTCGCGGCAACGGAGTAGGCGGTCGTTCGACTTGCGTATGTCGTTTGTTTCTACAGTTTGTTTCGCCGCTTACTTCGATTCGATCGTGGATCGTGGCTCAGGTAAACATGGTCAAGGTGCATGATCCACTACAACTTATCGCTGCTGTTCTTTCTGAAGGTTATGGACGATACTATGTGGATACGTTCTGTTTTTTCTCGTAGTTCAGTTTGCTTACGTAAAAACGGTGACTCGTCCTTCTTTTTCGTTTTTTCAACTCTAGCCAGAACGAAAATTACCTCAAGTAGGTTGACTCTCGTCGGGAAGTGTACAAAAATTTTTCACAGTGGAGGGAAAGAGGTCATTAATGAGTAGCAAAAATCGGATTGGAACCAAAGCCGATCCCTGGGGAACACCCGTGTTGATATTATGGGTCTATTAAGAGGAGAATTTGTCAGCTACGACGGATCTAGGGGAAGCTTCTCTGGGAAATCATAAGATGTACGTCAACATACGATCCCCTTCCCACTTCAGTTGGCCCACTTCAAGATTTGCATCAAAATATGCCTTTATAAAATAAACATGACGAAACTATTTACTTCTAAAACAATTTATTTTCTCAAAAACATTATAGATACACTCTAGTCGTAAAAAATACAAATTTGAAATCACTTAGACCTATAACTAATAGAACATCTGAACAAATAAAATATGTGCGAATAAATGCGCGAAGTTAACAAAGCAACAATTGAAACATTGCCATTGGGTAACATCACCTTTATTTTTATTACGGCTGAACAACAATCCCATATTTCTTGAAGCTTTTGTCTCAGTTCGGTGATTGTACGAGCAGGATGTTGTCGTAGAACCTTTTTCATCTCGTGTCACAAAGTTTCAATAGGTGACTGATCTGGACTGCTAGAAATCCATTTCAAAAGTGGTACATTATTTTCTTCCATCCATTTTATAGCCTTTTTTGAGGTGTGGCACGCTGCACCATCTTGCTGAAACACAAAATCTTGGCCGGATGTCAAACATTCTTCCATCACTGTTAAAAGCGATTCTTCTAAAATTGCCAAATATTTATTTGTATCCACATTTCCATCAATAAAATGAAGTTTTCCTACTCCTTTTGATGAAATACTGCCACAGACCATAATGGATGCTGGAAATTTCTCTTTCTCTTCAGACAGTCAACATAGGATGCTTCATTTTTTTGCGAATAACTCTACTGCGACTGTCACCAACACAAACTTCGAATCGGGCCTCATCACTCCATTGTATTGCACACCATTGTTGCGGTGTCCATTGTCTATGTTCTTTAGCCCATCTAAGCCAAGTTTTCTTTTGAGGTGGAGTTAATAGTGGATTTTCTTTGGCCTATAAATAAGTTGTGCAACTTTAGGGTTTTTACTTCACTTTTTTTTATAAGAAAGCTTACCTTGCAAGTGCTAAATCCCAGTTTGTGGGCCTCTTTATGAGTTGTGAACCTCGAAATTCTCCTTCCAATAGCGTCACTCCACAGAGCACTTAATTGTACATAATTGGCACGCCTGTTTTTCACGATTATTTTTTTCACATATCGTGGCTTAATATTAACTGAACCAGTTACGTTATATCAGTCGTCTAAATGCAGAACCCGACAAGTCACAACATTTTGGAATTTCAGTTTTATACACCATTGAATTCTTTATCTAAAGGGCTACAACCTATGCAATATTTTTAGGGCGAAACCCGACTTCTAACACGCTATTTTTAATACAGAAAATTCCCTTGAAATGCAAAAGCCGACATGTCCACGCATCGTTTCAATTCAAATACCGACATGTCCATGTCGACCAATGAAATTCGTGTTTGGTCAATCACGTGTTGCAATCGAGGTTTGTCGCCCTGACTTGCATGCACATGTTTATTTTTCGTTGAGTCTCGAATGATTAAGGTTGTGCGATCTAGTTTGATGGTATTTTAGCCTAAAATATGAGTGAATTGCATTGCGAAAAATATAATATACTACCATCGGAAGGTAATAGATCTCGAAAGAAAGTTAAAACGCCGTCTAAGCGGGAAAATGCAAAACGCAACAGGTAAGCTAATAGATACTTGTTACACGGTAGCAATAGTAATTTATTTGTATGTATTTTTCTAGATATTCTGCAAAATTATTGCTAACATTTCCAAAATGTGGGCATGTAGGTAAGCCGTACCAGCCCTTTCAATGTATATCACTGCTGACCATGAGAGATATAAAATTTTTTTATGACTCATTTTACAAAACATCAGAGACAATCACCCAGGACAATTTTGTATTGAAGCACTGCAGCGTTACTGATCCCAAAAGATCAAGAACACGAGAACAAGAAAAAAATAAGCCGAAATCTATGTCAGTGAAATACTATGTGAAAAGAAGAGATGGGGTAATGGTTCATGTGTGCAGACAGAGTTTCATGAACATTCTGGGAGTGAAGAAAGACAGGATTTTGAATGTAGTAAAACGGTACAAGGAAAGCAATGAAATGCCGTGGAGGTGATCGGACAAAAGGTAAAAATAACACAAAGCGAGCGGCTATAAAAGAGTTTGTTGAATCACTGAAGTGCATAGAGTCTCATTATTGCCGATCTAAGACATTCAGTAGAATTTATTTGCCTGCAGAACTAAATATCAGGAAACTTTGGTGAATGTTTAACAATACCGTGGACAAAGATCTTCAGGTTAAGGAGTCATTTTTCAGATACTTTTTCACCAGAAAATACAATGTTGGCTTTGGTACTCCTAAAACCGACATGTGTTCAACATGCCTGTAGTTTCAAGACCAAATAAAAAAGTCATTAGATATCAACACAAAGAATCGATTAATGATTCAACAGCGAGCTCACAAAATCCGAGTAAAGTGCTTCTATGAGCTTTTGAAAGAAGTCCATGCTGACAATGAGGTTGTTACATTCAGCTTTGATTGTCAAAAAAACCTGGCTCTGCCAAAAATCGCAGATCAAGCAGCCTACTTCAGTATGCAGCTAAACTTTTATCACTTGCAATTGTACAGGGGACTTCTAAAGGAAAAATAAGTCCAACTTCAGTCAATTCCTATGTATGGACTGAACTAGATCATCAAAGGGGATCCAATAAAATAGCATCAGCATTATATCATACTCTCAGCAGTACCCCCAACATAGACAAAATTGAAATATTTTTTCCGGTTGTGGGGCATTCCTATATTCCACCAGATAGGCTATTTGGACAAAGTGAGAAGGTTATTAAAAGCCACCTGAAATTACAAGTCCAGAACAATACATGAAAGTAATAGAGAAGTTGCGAAGCATCTACAAGTTGGGAGTTGATGTTCCTGTACAGGACTGGAAGTCAAAAGTTCAGATAGTTATGAAACCAACATCACAGTGGCATTTCAAGTTGCAAGTGTCCAAACGCATCATAATTTCAAAAACTGAAACCGGTTATGCAGTAAGAGGTGAAAGTTTCTATAAGAATGACATGGGCACCAACCAGTCGCTGCTGAGGAGACGAAGAGAGTTGGACATCAAACCAAGCACTGTAGACATTGGAATGCCATTGTAATCGGATAAGAAGAAGAGTATCAGTAATTTGATTGCAAAACATTACGGAAGTAATTGGCGAAATGATGAAGCCTTATCATTTTTCAAAAGTGCCTTCGATGAACTTCCTCTCCCATCCACGAGATGGTAATGAGGCCAATACAGAGTTGTTTTGTTTAGAAGAAACTTTAGATTTTGATATTTAGAAAACACAAATTTTCTGTTGTTTGGGATGTGCATTTTCTTAATACTACTTTGTAATAAAATAATCCAAAAGTTTGTTCGTGTTTTGCCGATTCGACTTGTTTTAGCCAAAGTTAATAACCAAAACCCGACAAGTCACCATGTTTTATATGCAACACCCGACAAGTCCAAACTTTAATCTTAATTTAAGTAATTATTAATTATAACATATGTTTGGGAACCAGTTTTTCGTTACACATTTTTTTTTATAAAATTTTTTTTCAATTTGCTGGTTTCTGTTAAGACAAATAGACGTTATAAACGTTTTTTGGATTTCCCTAAAATTCCTTTAAATGGACTTGTCGGGTTTTGCATTTAGACGGCTGATATCTTCTAACAATATTTCTCACACTGTACCGCGACAAGTCTAACAAAGTTGCAATTTCTGAGTTTGATTTCCCAGAATTAAAAAAATTTAATTATCAGTAACAGAATTTTCTCACTAATAACCTTTCCTCTACCCATTTTGAAAACCTTAACTACCCAAAACTACTTTAAACGTATTCAGACAGCTGTGATTAATAAAAACAATTGTCATGGCTTTTATTTTTCACAGCCTCCTATGCGTTATAGACTTATTTTGCATTGAAATGAAAATAGGTTGATATGCTGTAATTGCAACATGTGTTATTTTTATGCTGCAAATTTGATTAGGGAGTGATAAAGTTGGTGTTTTCTACTATATATTATCAAAATATTCATTGTTAATATTTTAAACCTATAACACTATAACTAAGATATCACTAGTTGGGCCAACTGAAGTGGGAAGGGGCTCGTAGAAGGGTAGCATATCATAGCTGATCGAAAGCTTTTGGAACACATATAGCAATGACGCAGCCTTCATTAAATATGAATGAAGAGACGCACGCATAGCCCATTGCCTGTTGTTAACAATCAAATAACAATGTTTTAAAATAAACTAAGTCTAAAATAGTCTTCGAGGATGGTTTGAGATTTAATCTTAGACACCTGGCAACCTCGAAAATTATATTGTTTTAAGAGTTTTTAATCATTGGAGATGGTATTTTAAGGTTTCTGAACCCATTAAACAGCTCATAACTCGGAACTGGTCAACTTTGAAGAAAAGTTACTAACGACCTTTTTGTTTAGATGGATAAAAAGAAAATAAAAAACATGGCTGTATTTTGTTTAAAATAATTGTTTGAACAAGCATCGTCTAAAAAGGCTATGACGACACAAAGGTATATTCAGGAAACACTAGAACCCAATCTTTTACTATTTCTCAGAACGCCTGAGAACCAGATTTTCCTATAAGATAATAGCGGCTTACATAATGGTAGAGCTACAAATAATTCTTAAATAAGCCTTCTCTCTTGACCTCCTGGATCTCGAGATCTTTCGCTCATTTCTGTGATACAATGCGAGAAGAGTGACCTGTTTACCTGATCTTAAACAAGCTCTAGCAGCTCTTCTGAACCGAATACAGCTAGCTAATACCTTGAGAAGACATAAATCTAATCTGAAGCATGTCCCAACGATTGAATAGCTGTATACGGTATAGGACCAACACTTTATTAGAAAAATCTAACGATAGAAATGTTTTCACTACAAAATTTATTGACGACTTCCTTTTGCTTTGGCTTTTACAGAATTCCATTCAAATTGAATCATTTTTACTGGGTGCTCTATTTTCTTTACCTCCGAGTATATCATTTCATATAAGGATTTTTATATACATAAACAGCACTCTAATACAGGGTGTAAACGTTATGGTAGTCATTGTTGAAATGGGTAATAGGGGGAGGGGGGGGTCAAAACCAGTCAAAAAGTTCATATGACCCATGATCCAAAAGTCAATAGATTTTTGTCTAAATGGTTTTATACTTTACAACTTTAAGTGATTTATATCGACCACAATCTCCACAATCTTACTAATTTTTATAATCTAATCTAAAACGTTTTTAAATTGGTTATTAACAAATAAATGGCATTAAGTTTTCTAAGTTAAGCGAAAATTTGTAGTCAGTAAATAAGTAAGTTTTATTAAATTAAATATTTAAAACACACATGACACCAGCGCGTCGATCTTTCATTACTCTTATCGAACTGGCAATCGATCGCAAACGTAACAGTGGTTAGTTATTGTTTGGCATAGATAAATTACTTTATCGTTTTGTCGACCAGAGCATCGGGCGTGTTGTTTTGTTTTTGTTCGCGTACGTCGTCGTGTTTATTTACAATGTTCTCGAATCAAGAGTTCGCCGATATGTTGTTAGTTTGCGGTGAAGCTCGTCAGAATTCAAATCTTGCAGCTCAAATTTATCGCCACAGATTTCGCCAACGAGTACACCCAGACAGAAGGACATTTGTGCAAGTGTACCAAAGACTTCGAGATACAGGTTACTGTAAAGTAGGAGGAACAAATTTTAAATGTCGTGGAAATCAATGCAGATATCAGCACTCGGGAATTAGTCCATAGAATCCTACGGGAAAATTTTCTTTATCCCTACCATGTACAACGAGTGCAGGCCTTGTTACCAAAAGACTATCCTTGCAGACTAACGTTCTGTCAGTGGTTTTTGCATAAAAACATTGAAAATCCGGATTTTTTAGAAACATTCTAGCGATGGACTAGACTTTTACGCGAGACGGGATATTAAATTTCCATAATACTCACACGTGGGCGCAAGAAAATTCTCATACCATGCGTGAAGGTCATTTCCAACAACGTTTTAAAATAATATTTGGCCGGGTATTCTTGACGATCAGGTGATTGGCCCTTTCGAGTTACCCCCAAAGTTGTCAGGAGAAGGATACCTTAGCTTTCTAGCCAATAACCTACCAGAACTTTTGGAACAGACCTTAGACAACATGCCATTACAACGGAGACAGAATATGGGGTTTCTTCATGACGGGCACCACCCAATGAACTGTCAACACTGATGGAACAGGCGTAACGCGAATTCATTGCGGCTAGAATGAGAAACGAGAAGGATAGCGCTAGTCAGGGCAAAACATTGGCAAAACATCGTGGTCCATTGTGGTATTTCCATATATGTTCTAAGGATTTTTGGTGAATGTTTGTTTTTAGTGACGTTAAAGATTAATAGTGATAGTTTGCGACAATTATTATAAACATTTATATGCCGAACAGCCTTCAAGAGCTGTTGTTTTATGAGATATTTATTTAAAAATGGTTGAATCTTGCAGTGCGGTGAATTGTTGCAATAGACGCAGAAAAGATGTGAAAATGAAGTTTCACAGGTTGGTTTTAATCATCTCATTCATTTTTGTGTGAGAATTACCTGTTAATTGGTAATTCGAGAAAATATCTGGATTTTTAGGATACCTACAGATCCTAACATGAGGAAGTGGTTACATGCTATAAGAAGAGAAAACTTTACTCCCAGTACAACAACGGTAATTTGTGAAAAGCATCTCACTCCAGAGGATTATGAAGTTAGTGTTCATGGAAATAAGGTACTAAAAAAGGTGGCAGTTCCATCTGTGTTTGATTTTCCAGCCCATCTCAAGAAAGAACCTACCCATCGAAGGGTTTTGAAAAGAAAACATGAATACATAATTTCTAGAATGAACTATGGTATTATAATGAAAAACTGTGCATCTACAGTATTGTTAATGCCATTGTGCACAAATATTTTGTATACATATATATATATATATATATGTATACATATATACAGGGTGACTTTGAAGTTGAGTCATTAATTTTCAGATAATTATTGTAGAAGGAAGATAAACCAAAATATGTGTGTAAAAATAAAAAAAAATAAAAAAAAATTTTTACCTTGTTTTATAAAGTATCCTCCCGACAAGTATTTCAGTGCGGACCTGTATTTGATCGTGAGGTCCCCTGTGAGGTCTTAAGTC